CGGCCAAGCGTGGCTCAGCGGTTGAGTGTCGACCTAGGATACAGGCGATCGGGGTTTGATTCCCGGTCAGGGCACATGCCCGGGTTGCGGGCTCGATCAGTGACTCTGTCATCATTGATGTTTCTGTCTCTCTCTCTCTCCCTCTCCTTTCCTCTCTCTGAAATCAATAAAGATATATTTAAAAAAAAAACAACAAAAAAAACAACCTGTGGATACCTTTATCTTTTGATCCACTAATCTCAGGCCTACGAGCCTTCTTTCAGCGCCCTGCTGCCTCTAAAGAAAGAGACAAGAGGGAAAGGAAATCAGACAGGAAGCCTGGTGTGTTTTGACCGCCTTTCTCTGGGGGTTAGCCTTGTAGCTACGAGCACATTTGATCGTTGAGGAAAAGCTGAAAGATGAGTTTTTGCCCCCTCTCCATTAAGGACTCTGAGAGAAGAAATGATGACTGCAGTACAGTAAAAATAGTGCCATAGTGTGGTTAGGTTAGGAACACCTGACTTGTCTCTTTCCTTCCCATCCCCTCCTACTTCCACCCCAGGCAGCCTCAGCCACAATGTGGCCTATAAAGGACCCCAACATTCCCATCGCCCCCTAAGAGATGTCAACATGCTTGAAATTTCTGGAGGAAGATCTTGCCAGAGGAAGTCTCCTGAGAGATGGTGAAATGGCAAGGGCTCTAGGCTGTGCAGTGAGTGCCAGAGCACATTCCTTTATTCCTCTGCCATTTCTCAGCATGCTTTTGAAAGAAACAGAGCCAGCTTCCAGGAGGGAGCCAAAGTGCCAGTGGGTATCAAGACAAGTGCATGTCGAGAGAGCCAGGAGAGGTTCTGAAAGGTCCCACTAGCCTCGGACTCTGTCGGGACCCTGGAAGGAACCTAATTGTGCCGTGGTGGATGCCAGCACAAACGCAAGGACCTGCAAAAGGCTAAGCACGAAGTTAGGGCCCCAAACACCAAACGCCCCAAAGATAATAAAGGTTTTCCCTCTCTCTAGGCACCATCTTGGGAAGGAATACATAGTTCTTTAGGGAGTTAAATGTAGCATTGACTATTTGCCCAAATGAGACTGAAATGAGAATGTCTGGGATACTATTAATTATCAAGTTAATGGTTTTCCATAGCTACCAAAATGGGTGAGGCCTTGTAAAAAAGATTACATTTATAACAAAAAATAAAGATGCAGAACTTTCTTACATTTGAGTATTGACTGAATAATTTGGTTTTAGTTTTACTTAATTAATTGTAGTTTTAGATAATTAGTTTTAAAACTGTTTTGCAAATAAATAATTCCACCAAGGTTCATGGATATTTGCTAAATAAAAAGTAAGTAATTATAAAACAAAGTTATTGAGACACTGAAATGTTGCTATTAATTTTCTGGGAAAGCTCTAAATATTTTCTCTGTTAATTTCTTGGTTTTTCTTTTATGATAAAAACAATGCAAATACAATGTTTAAAATGTCTTACTATATTTTTTTCCTGCAAATCTTGATCAAATCTGCTTTCAGTATAGCAAGTTGGAGTGATTTGTATCTAGTGGTATAGTATAGAAAGTTTTTAGATAAGATATAAAAGTTGCAACTCTCCATCCCTTTTCCCCTTTATGCATTCCTGTTCTCTCACTTGAAACATCTAATAAAAAAAATAGTGTAAGCCCGGCCGGGCATGGCTCAGTGGTTGAGCGTCGACCTGGGATCCAGGCGATCGGGGTTTGGTTCCCGGTCAGGGCACTTGCCCAGTTACGGGCTTGATCAATGACTCTCTCATCATTGATGTTTCTATCTCTCTCTCTCCCTCTCCTTTCCTCTCTCTGAAATCAATAAAGATATGTTTAAAAAAAAAAATAGTGTAAGACATTATACTTGTTCACAAATCTCTTAACAATCTCTCTTAACAATACAGAGTATAGATTTCTTGCTAGTAGTGCTTGTATAATGGTCTGAGATTTTCTTTTCACATATGCGTCACTGATAATTCTCATATAGGAGGAAGTTGAGGGCAAATATTACTTTTATTTCATATATAGAAAAAACAGGAGTATGGAGTAGAGTTGTCTTTAAACTTGAGTCTGTGATAGACTTAGAAATGAAAGTAAAGAGTTTAAGGTTTATATAAAGAGTAATAGTTTCTATGTTTGACCTCTGTCTTCATGAATCTTATTTGATAATGATAGTACTATTGACTTACTTTACTTCCTTAGATAATACATGTTGGAGTGTTGAACAGTTTACTGGGTCATGGTAGTTATTGCAAAGAAACTGGGTAATTACAGGATATTCCCCCCAAACTTACCTGCTTCTGGGACAAAGTTATTCTTAAAAATATTTTGCATATTAGAAAATGTCAATATATTTTATTTAAAGCATTGCTCTCTTGCTCAGTGTTCTGGGGGATAATGTGTCTTATGATAAACTAGGTGTAAATATTCAGGGAATGAAGGAAGTTTTGAAATAAAAGTAAAAATTGAAAATTTTGAAACTTTAAGATGCTGAGAATTACTTGGAACTATTTACAACTTATTTGCTACCTCTTTTCAAAGACCATTATATGATGACATATAATTTGGTTTGAAGTTAGAATCTTTTTTTCTTCATTATGAATCTGGCTCATATTGAGATATTTTTTTCTTAACATAACAGGCTTTTGACTCTTTGCCAAAGTGAACATTTTTGGAATAACATTAAATATATCTGGCTAGACTTGAACAACACCACACACACAGACACACAGACACACAGACACACAGACACACACACACAGACACACACACACAGACACACACACACAGACACACACACACAGACACACACACACACACACACACACACACACACA